ACCTGAGGGCTGTCTTGTGAACTCCTCACATTGCAATTGCTATCAACAGTGAGTGGGACACCAAACTCAATAGCTGGTGACCAAGTGAGGATTTTTAGATTAATCACAAATTTCATAATACTGCTTTCATTTCACTCCATGTAGTACATATGACACCACTGTAATTCTGCATTTAATTTATTAATTCCAATCTCCTATACTATACTCTAAACACCTCTGAGGGCAGGCATCATGACAGCTTTTCATTCTTTAAGCACCTAGCACAATATCTGCCATATTTTAAGTGCTAATCATTCTTTCCTAAAAGAAAAAACAAGAGAGTCAGACACTGAAGCATGGTTTTAAGTAAGTAAAGCATGCCTTAGTTTTTTCATTAGTGAAACAGTAATAAGAATGCAATGTTTTACATAGAAGTGTTACCAAAATGTCATTTCTGGATCCTTATATACAGTTACTAGGATATAATTTCTTTTCTGGATATAAATAGAGACAGAGACAGAGACAGAGAGACAAAGAGAGAGACACTGACTGTTGGTGTTTGTTTTTTGGATTTTTTGTTTTTTTAAGCAGGCAGGCAGTTCTGGGGATTGAACCAAGGTTCTCTCACGTGCAAGGCAAGCATTCTACCACTAAGCTATAAGACCAGCCCTTGATATTTCATTAATCAATGATATACACACATATACTTCCAATTACAGTAGATGACTAGCATAAGATGGCCAATGTTACCTCTCTAAAGGATATAACTCCATCTATAAATAGCAACACTATACATTTAATCTGTATAACCTTATCACAAGTAAAAATGATTTTAATTCTTTTTTTTTTTTTTTTTTTCATCTGAAAATACTCCTAAGAGTCTAAACAGAATTGGAAGCCACTGAAGACTAAAATCAAGAATTATATATTTTGGACTGGGGCTGAAGTTCAGTGGTAGAGTACTTAGCTCACATGTTTGAGGCACTGCATCCTCAGCATCATATAAAAATAAATACATAAAAAGATATTGTGTCCATTTTCAACTAAAATTATAAAAAAAGAATTATATATTTAGCTAATGTGCATACAAGTCTCCTAGCTTAGGCTTATAAGAGTCATATACTAATAAAACTAACATTATTGGAGAATTAGTGATCTATCAGTTTAATAAAAACTGCTAGCAATAATACAATACAAAATTGATATTATTAGGGAATCACTAATTTGACATCTTAATAAAGACAGCTAAAATATAATACACATAAAATATTAAAATACAGTAAAATAGAAATGGAACACAGAAATAGAAAACTGTCAAGTGACTCCAGAAATTATAAATTCAAACTCTAGTATAGTATCATTTCTTTTTCTTTACAGTTTTTCATACATCTTAAAAATACCTAGGCCTTTATAAATCAGACATCTTTAATGTCTTGCTGTTAGTGACTTCCAGAGTCCTTTATAACAGTCTTAGAGATGAACAGTTCAGTCTATATTTTTTGGATATCTACTATGTACCAGAAACTATATTTAAAAATAAAACTCCTAACTCCCAGGTTTATAGTCTGTGTGGAAGAAATACAATTAAATACACAGACACATAAAAAATATGTAAGACTTTAAGAGTGGTTATTTCTAGAACAGGAATTATTAAGTACTTCTTTTTTAACTCACATGTCCTAAAATGCTTAAATTTTATATAATAGATGTATATATTCCACTTATTGATCAAATGAGTCAAACTATTAAAAAATGGCTAGTAGAGACGTAAGGTACTACAAGGATATTCACTTTCACAACTTTATTTCTGTAATATAAGTACTGCTATCTGGGGAAAAAAATGACAAGAATACAAACAGTAATGACTACTAAAGAACATTTTCACACTATTGGTCAGACTGTACATTAGTACAACCACTATGGAAATCAGTATGTAGGTTCCTCAAAAGACTAGGCATGGAAGGAATCACCATATGACCCAGCTATATCACAATATTTATCCTAAAAAATTAAAGTCATCATATTATAGTAATACATGCATACTCTTGTTTATAACAGCACAATTCAGATTAGTCAAAAAAGCAGCATAGGAGTCCATCAATGGATGAGTACATAAAGAAAATGTGGTGTATATATACACATTTTTATATGGAGTTTTATTCAGCCATAAGGAAAAATGAATTTTGTCATTTGCAAAAAAATAGATGGAACTTGAGACCATTATGTTAAGCAAAAAAAGTTCAATTTGGAAGGTCAAGGGTCATATATTTTCTCTCATATGTGGAAGTTAGAGAGGAAAAAGTAAAAGAAAGGTGGGGAAGCTGACCTCATGAAAATCAAAAGGAAATCAGTATAGTAAAGGAACCAGGAAAAGGGAGAAGGGAAGGAAAAGGGGAAATACTGGAGAAGGACATTAGCCAAATTATATTTTTATATTGTGTGCATGTACAAATATGTAACAACAAATCCATTAATGTACAACTATAATGCACCAATAAAAATATAGAAAAATAAATAAAACCCTAAAAAATGGTACTTTCCTAAACCATAATAATAAAACCATACTTTCTTTAAAATAAGAGAAAATTCTAATTTCTCTAAAAATACTCAATTTAGAAAGTCAAAGAAAAATGCAAAGAAGCAATAAGAGAAAAAGGAAAACATATTACCAAGTAGAAAAGCAAAGACTTGACCTATAAGTTAGCAATAAGAACAAGCATTTTTGTTTTTCCACCTTTCTAAAAGTTAATCATGGCTGGGTGTAGTGGCACATGCCTGTAATCCCAGTGGCTTGGGAGGTTGTGGCAGCAGGATCGTAAGTTCAAAGCCAGCCTCAGCAATGATGAGGCACTAAGCAACTAAGTGAAACCCTGTCTCTAAATAAAATTTATAAAAAAGGGCTGGGGATTTGGCTCAGTGGCCAAGTGCCCCTGAGTTCAATCCCCCATACCAAAAAAAAAGGTTAATCTTAATTATACTAAGCAATTTTGGGGATCTCTTAAATATAAGCGTAATTTTAAAACAAATGCAATCATATTTAGCTTGAACTTTAAACAATAATCAAATTAATCAAACTAATTTATGAAAATAATCATTCCCTTTTTCAGCTTTTCTAAATGATAAGCCAGATGATATTCAGGCATTCAGCAAAGTGAATTAAACTCAACTTCTGATCATTGTATAAACTAGAACAATAATTATTAAAGTGTAGTCCATGGATCTCTAGGAATACCTAAGACCTTTCTTTCTTAATGGGTTTGTAAGTTCAAAGAAAATGAATTGTTTCCATAACAATCCTAAGAGAGTTTTTATCTTTTTTCCTGTTTTTCCATCTTCACAGATGGCACAAAAGCAATGGTGTAAAAGTGCTGGTATTTTAGCACAAATCTAAATGTTGTATTAAATGTTTCATTGACACATATAGTTCAAAAAAAATCAAATGAAACAAAGATCCAGTTTTATCAAAAAATATCTTTGATACAAAAGCAGTGAAAGTTATTTGTATTAAATTTTGACCTTGGAGTACAATTTTTTAATATTCTGTGTAATGAAATAGGAAATAAAAAAAAAGAACTGCTATGTATCAAGATATGCTTGTTATTTCAAGAAAAGGCACTTGTATGATAGTTTGTTATCAGTTAAGTTGGCACCTTTTTTTGGAACACCATTTTTATTTGACATAATACTTTTGTGTGTGTGTGGTGCTGGGGATTGAACCCAGGGCCTTGTGTATGCAAGGCAAGCACTCTACCAACTGAGCTGTATCCCAGGCAAGCACTCTACCAACTGAGCTATATCCCCAGCCCTAATATTTTATTTTACTTATTTATTTTTATGTGGTGCTGAAAATTGAACCCAGTGCGCACTGTTACACATGCCAGGCAAGCACTCTACCACTGAGCTACAACCCCAGCGCAATACCATTTTTGTTTGATAGAACAAATGGAAGACAAATATGGTTTTCAGATAAGGCATTTGGCAAATATTTTCTTAAAACTTAGTGAAAATGAACCAATGATTTTTGAAAAAAACTCCTGATACTTGTTACTGACAAAATTTGCACTTTCAAGTAAAAATTAGAATTTTGTAAAATTTGGGACCAACATTGTGAGCTCAAAAATTTCCTGATACTTAATGATTTTTCCAAGGATACAGACAGAGACATTAACAATGTGATTCACTGCTATTGTCAAATCACATCAAAAGTCAACACTTAGAAAAGGTATAAAAATCAGGAAATTTTCCACAAGACCAACCCATGATGTTTCAAAATCATTCAAGATCAAAAAATCCACTTGAGGGCTGGGGATGTGGCTCAAGCGGTAGCACACTCGCCTGGCATGCGTGTGGCCTGGGTTCAATCCTCAGCACCATATACAAAGATGTTGTGTCCACCGAAAACTAAAAAATAAATATTAAAAAATTCTCTCTCTCTCTCTCTCTCTCTCTTTAAAAAAAAACAAAAAAAAAATCCACTTGAAGGACAAAATAATCCAAAGCATATTAGCATAACAAAGGAAAAATTTCACACAAAAACTTATTTTTAAGGGTTCTATTAAGCCAGACATTAAAGAGATTTGGAAATATTTTCAACAATCTTCTCATCAACTTTTCTGTTTTGTTAAATACAGTTATTTTTCATTAGAAATACATTATTTTGGGTGGGGAATATAGCTTAGTGATAGAATGTTAACCTAGCATATGCAAGGCCCAGGATTCAATCCCTAGCACCACAAAAAAAAAAAAAAAAGTTATTTATATGAGCATGTAATGACTTTATCACAGTTATTTTAAAATGAATTGACAAATATTTTAAGTGTTTCAGTTTTAATGTCTAATATGGGTAAATAACGACAGACAATCCCATTAAAAAAAAAAAAAAAAAACTCTTTGGGGCAATAATTTTTAGGTATGCAAAGGAGCCCTGAGACAAAAAGTTTGAGGATTGCTACACAAGAAGCACACAGACAGACCAGACTCCCTTGGTTCTTGAGACCTTTCAGAGTATCAAAGAACCATACCTGCTTTGCAAAAAATATTGTGTCAAGTCTGGAATCCTGAACAACAGAGCCTGCTGGTTCTTCTCCTGGCTGCCACTTGAAAAGAAAAATTAAGCCATGAACTGGCCTACAAAATAAAAAAATAAATTAGTGACACCAAACTCTGACTCTTTTATAACACTGTTAATATGTTAAATTATAATCAGCTATTTAACAAATACAAAGCTAATTAAGTAAACTATTAAGTAAATATGAGAAATTTTTAAGATTGCTACTGCCATTCATAGCTTTGAATGTTGCCTCAGAGCCTAATAAAACTAAAACTTACATAGGATAACACAGAATTATAATAAAAGGTTTATTCTCAAATCTATGGACTATTCACTGATACTTTATATCAATTCATTTAAAAATAGAAAATTAAGAACATAGCAAAACTAAAAGCTATTAAACTTGACTGAATTCTAACATATATGAATAAAGTTGCTACAGAATGTTTACAGATAAACAACTGATAGCACATATATTAAGAAGTCACCTACATTATTAGATTCACGATAAACCTACTACAGTATGAATGGCTGCCATCATCTCAATACATAATGAAGTCATTCACATTCCTAACAGAATCACTGATGAGCACAAAACATTAAATCACCACTTTAGGATTTTCTCCACTTTTTCACAGTGGCATTCTCCTCATCAAAAATCTTTCCCCATTTTAAAGAGAATTAAAATGATGCATCTTTAGTTAATCTTCCCTGATCTCAGTCACAACTGATCTCTTATTTCATCTAAAATGGTTGCTATTTTTGTGGATAAGAGTAAGGTAGGTAGGAGAAGAAAACCATCTTCTTCTTACTATTAAAAACAGTAGCCACATCCCTAAGTCCCCACTTTCCTTTTTAAAAGTCTCTTCCTTGTCCCCATTTCAAGAGTTTAAGAACCCTCTTAATAAAGAAAACTCCTGGGCTGGGGTTGTAGCTCAGTGGTAGAATGCTTGCCTAGCATGTGTGAGGCACTGAGTTCGATCCTTAGCACCACATATAAATAAAATGAATAAAAATAAAGGTCCATCAATGTCTAAAAGAAATTTGAAAAAAAAGAAAACTCCTGTGGTCTTCCATTTGCAGATACAGGGTCAATGATTGAGGGTACCAAGGTAAAGGGTAAGGACAGGCTCCAAGAGGAACTCTAATCACAGAGATTGGGTAAGGGGAAAATTCTTTCTGGCATCTATACTGAAACCTTGAACTTTTAAGTTTCCCAAGAAGCAAGATGACAATGTATAGGCAAATTCTGAATTACAACTAATGTTATCTATTAAATATGCTTTTGTATAATGACCTATTAGTCATGCTTTTATGATAAAATATTCCATATTCTAACATTACAATCTACAAGTGAATTTTGTGAAAAACCTACCAATCAGTACTTCATGGATACAGAATTATAATCTTGGGACCGAATCCCTTATAAGTGACTCTGTATGAGCCTCGGGTTCTATAAAACTAGAATAATACCTATCTCCCAGGATTGAAAAGACTTAAAGGAGATAATGTACTCAGCCTAGGGTAATTCAAATAAAATAAATGGATAAATCTTAGTAACCTCAAAAGATTTAAGTATAGATATATTACTTTTTTTTCTTTTTGTTTTTGTACTGGGGATTGAACCCAGCAGTACTTTACCAGTGAAGGACATGCCCAGCTCGTTTTATCTTTTTTTTTTTTTTTTTTTTTTAACTTTTTGGTTTTTTTGGTGGTGCTAGGGATCAAACCCAGGGCCTTGTGCATGCGAGGCAAGCACTCTATCAACTGTACTATATTCCCAGCCCAAGCCCCTTTCATTGTGAGACAGGGTCTTGCTATTTTGTTTTGTTTGTTAAGAGAATAGGGACTAAATCCAGGAGCACTCTACCATGGACAGACATACCCAGCTCTTTTAATTTTGAGACAGGGTCTCACTAAGTTGTCCAGGTGGGCCTCAAATTTGCAATCCTACTGCCTCAGCTTCCCAAGCTGTTGGGATTACAGGCACGTGTTACCATGCCTGGCTCGTTTAACACAACTAAAACTTTACTTACTTTAATTTTTCAAAATTTTCAGGCTCTAAACTCCATATTTCTTCTACTTGGGCTCCTCGGCAACCTGAAATAAGAAATTATTTTGTTTAGAAAACAAAATAACTCATTTCTCCTTCATCACTAAATATTAACTAAAAGAAAGGTATACTTGGGTTCAATAGGACATGGACAAATTAAAATGGTAAAACATGATGTATTAATTAAAATGATAAAATAAAAATATTATATATTTTTAAAAGTTTCAAGAGTTTAATTTTCATTACATCAGCACCCTACAACTGTTCCTTCTATCTCTCAATCTTTGGCTCTTCTTCATCTGTTAAGTCCCCCCTTCTCTGTCTTTAGCCCTTCCTCCCTACCAAACTGTACACTTTTTCCTTCTGGCAAAGTAAATAGCTACCACTTAAATGACTTTCAAACCACACCTATAGTTCTGATCTTTTTCCTAAACTCCAATTATATACTTTCAACTACTTCAAAGTCACTCCCACCCCTGTTCAAACATACATTTTTTCTAGGACAATGATTTTCAACCAGGGTGATTTTGACCCCCAGAGAACATCTAGCAATGCCTAGAGTTTTGTTTTTTGTTTGTTTTTTTTTTTTGTCACTATTGTCATGGGGCAGAGAATGGGGGGAGATCACTACTGGCATCTAGTGGGTAGAGATGAGAAATGTCTATAAACATATTACATTGTACAGGAAAGCTCTGACAAACATTATCTGGCTGCATATCCCAGCTACTGGGGAAGCTGAGGCAGGCTGAGGGAGGAAGATGGCTTAAGCCCAGCTTGGTCAATATAGCAAGACCCGGTCTCATTAAAAATAATAATAATAATAATAATAATAAAAGAATTATCTAGCCCAATATGTAAATAGTGCCAATCAAAGTTGAGAAACACTACTGTAGCAGCAAGTATCATAGTAATCATATATGAACACTTGGGTCTTCAAATTGCTAGACTGAATTATTTCTGCTTCGTTTACTAGGTATGTGACTATTTAACCTCTCCATTTCCCATACTCACAGATTTGCTGTGAGGAATAAATGACAGAAAGCATGAGATATATTTAACATAGTGCCTAGTATAGTCTAATATTAGCTAGCATAATTACCACAATACAGAAAAACAACTCTATTTACCAGTATCTCCTATGTGTAAAGTGTGTTAATACGTTTTCTCTAATCTTTGAAAGGCCAGACTCCCCTCTCTCCCTTGGAAAGAAACCTCTTTGAATACTTGTATACTTCTGGGGCAAGTTAGTGACCTGAGTTTATTCTGTGGAAAGGCAAGAATTTAATGAATGATGCTTTGTGGATGTAAAGTGGTTTGCTTAAATTCACTATGGCTAGTATATACCAGGAAACTAATCAAAACCCTTATAAAAATCTGGGCACTTTGTACTATTTCAGATTATTTTCAACTGAGAGCTGAAGAAGCCTTTAAACCACCTATAAAAAAAAATGGCTAAAAAAATTATTAGGCCAACCAACAATGTGACTTTGGGTATCCCTAATTCTGTGCTTCAGTTAACTCTGTTCGACAAATATTTATTAAGTATTCACTCTAGTATTAAATAAGTATGTACTAGAAAAGTTACTACGTAGGTTACAGTGGAAAAGAACTGGAAGAAATCTAGATGTGTACCAACAGATTGAGAGTGATAGATATTCACATATAATCAAGTGGGAGGGGGGAATCTCATAAACTTGAATTTCTGTACAAGTATCAATGAGGGAAGAGGACACTATGCAATTATTAACACTGGTTACTGCAATCAGAAATCGATTATAAAAAGAAAGATCAAACATTAAAACACTGTATATTATTATCATACCACAATAAAAAAGAAAAAAAAACACTGAATCAAAGTACTCCAAAATATTCTACACAAGTGGAATTTCAAATTGTGACAATGCTTAAATAATCTTATGTCAAACACAAATAAGTGTAAGGAAAACACAGTATTCAAATGTTAGCATCTACCTCCTTACACATATATTTAATATCTAATACAACATGGAAATAGAATAAGCAATGATTTCAGAGATCTGAGTCCTAATCCCAGCACTGCCCTAAAATTCTTAACCTTGAGCAAAAACATAATTTTTTTCCTCAATACACATATAAAACAAGGATATTACCTGCTTCATCTAATATACAAAATTCTTGTGAGGTATTAAGGTTATAAAACACTAAACACAGCAACTTAATGCAAACCCCCTAATATTATATATTAAATAAAAAGTTAGGGAGGAGAGGAAGTTTTTTGTTTTTTTGGTTTTTTTAAGTTAGTGAAATATTGGCATTTACCAAACATCTTTGGTGTGCCAAGCACAATACTAGGCCATGGCAAGGACAGAAGTTAATAAATTACTGTCAACAATACTTAAAAACCTCACAAATCTAGTAAACAAGGACAATACAGCATGCATATATTAGATATGAAAGGTACACAGGGCATGGTCTAGAAGTTCAGAGGTAGGAATGAGCATTACTATAAGCACTGATTTTAAAAAAACTTTCATTATATAAACTGGGTCTTAAATAGGATGATTTATGTTTTGTCAGTATTCCGAAGTGAAAGGGGTTACTGAATTAAAATGGTACAAGTTTTGAAATATTTATATACTGAATAACACATTTGTATGATAATACTGGTGGTCTAATAAACAGTTCTATTCTAAAACTAGTTTCAAAAATAGTTTCCTTGGACTGGGGTTGTAGCTCAGTGGTAGAGCACTTGCCTAGCATGAGTGAGGCACTGGGTCAATTCTCAACAACATATATAAATAAATAAAATAAGGGTCCATCGACAACTAAAAAAATATTTTTTAAAAAAGTTTTCTTAAAAATAAATCTGGAGGGCTGGGGTTGTGGCTCAGTAGTAAAGCACTCGCCTAGCTCATGAGAGGCACTGGGTTCAATCCTCAGCACTACATGAAAAAATAAACAAATACAATTTTAAAAATTAAAAATGAGTCTGGAAGCTTCTTCACAAAGAAAATATTGGGGGGGGGGGGGGGGCAGGAAGCTCTCCCAAACTGTCACCAGAGCCTTAAATTTAATCAACTGCTAGGTATGCTATCTTCCAACAGTTTTGATAATTTTTGATCCCCCTAACCTTACCAAGACTACCGAAAGTAGTAAGGATGGTCACAGCCTCTACATCCCCAACAAAGAATATCCCCAGATGTTTTCCACAACCCATTTCTCAGTTGTCCCATGGTGCAGATAAATGCCATTTGGCTGGTGATATGACCAAATAGGAAAAACTGATTAACAGTCTCAAGCAACCTCTATAAAAACAAGGCTAGAAAATAATTTGAACTGAATTAGGTATTTCCCTAAATTGGAGATACCCTACTGAACTGGTCCCATTTTTTTGGGGGGGGGCAACAATTATAATCAACACTTGTGAACCTCCAAGACACTATACTTTTTACTTCTTGTGTGAAATCCAGATCTTAATTTGCTTCTATCCTCAAAACAAAATGAGACACTCAACTGAACTGATACCATTTGGGGGAGCCCAACAATTATAATCAACACTTGTGAACCTCCAAGACTATATACTTTTTATTTCTTGTGTGAAATCCAGATCTTAATTTGCCTCTATTCAAAACAAAATGAAATACACCTTAGGAAATATGCGGGGTGTGGTGGCACATGCCCGCAATCCCAGAACTTAGGAGGCTGAGGCAGGAGGATCATGGGCAGCCTTACAACTTAGTGAGACCATGTCTCAATTAAATAAATATGGGGCTGGGGTTGTGGCTCAGCAGCAGAGCATTCACCTACTATGTTGCAAGGCCCTGGCTTCAATCCTCAGCACACATAAAAATAATAAGTAAATAAAATAAAGGTACTATGTCCAGCTACAACTAAAAAATATATTTTTAAAAAATAAAATTAAATAAATAAAAGGACTGGGGGATATAGCTCAGTGCTAAAGTGTCCCTGGTTCAATCCCCTGTACCCAAAAAAGAAGTGATTATGATAAGCTTTCCTCTTAATAAAATACCATCTTAGACTCAAAGGTCATTTGGATCTGCATTAATGAATAGATCAGCTGTTATTAATGATGAAATTACTCCAGAATTGCTCTGTCATGCCAAACTGGGGTGAAAAAAAAATCACTAATACACCCTGCTATACCTGGGTTAATATTCTGAACCAAACGGAAAGGCCAACACAAAATTTGTCTCTTGTACATACTACAAGATATTAACAGATTTGGTATTGACCATGCTGGTCAGGTTACACTAATCTAAGTGTCTGAAGGAATGCTGATTTGGGGTAGAAAGGAATTGTAAATTTTGGTGGGAAACAATTCTCAATGGGTTTCTCCTGTTTTGTTTGAAATCTTTACATTTATGTTGACTATGGATACAGGTTTACAGTTTCCTTTTCCTTGGTTTGGGCAAGGTAATATCTGCCCTCATAGAATGATTTTGGTATTATTTTTCCATTTTGGGGGGGTATGGGGTGTGGGGTACTGGGGATTGAACTTGGAGCAATTGACCACTGAGTCACATCCCCAGCCCTATTTTGCATTTTATATTTTATTTAGAGACAGGGTCTGAGTTGCTTAGAGCCTTGCTTTCTGAACTCATGATCCTCCTGTCTCAGCCTCCCAAACCACTGAGATTACAGGTCACCAAGCCTGGCTACATTTTTTTTTTTTAATTTGCAATTCTTTATACTTATGTCTTAGTTAAAATAAAATCTTTGTTTTACTATGATACTACATTTCACTAAAATTTATATTTATATATTCACTGCTTCCACAAATAATTTCCTCTGTAATGATGAACTTTCAAAATGAATTTGCAACAGCATTCACAATATAATCATATGTTTCACTTTCAAAACAGTTAAATTCCAAAAGCTTAGAGGGGTTTTTTGGTACTGGAAATTGAATCCAGGGGTGCTTTACCACTGAGCTACATTCCCAATTCTTTTAAATTTTTATTTTGAGACAGGGCCTCACTAAGTTGCTAAGTGCCTTGCTAAGTTGCTAAGGCTGGCTTTGAACTTGAGATTATCCCTCCTCAGCCTCCCAAGTCACTAGGTTTACAGGAATGCGCCACTATGCTCCACCAAAGTTTTTTTAATTGATGAATTGAATGGGAAAAAAATGAAAATGATTGGAAAAATTGGATTTTTTTCTTTGAAGTATCTAATTTTTTTGTAAAGTTCTTTTGCTAATGGAGCCAGTCCATTAACAGTTATTTTTTTCATGTGTGCTTATAAAAGTGGATTTATATATCACTCTCTGATGCATGACTTTATTTAAATCATTTTCAAATTCCAAGCTTTTTGCACATATGAAATTGAAACAATAGCTGATGATGGACTGAATTGATTTTAAAATAAAATTACCTAGCACCATATTTCTGAAAGTCAACTTTAACATGTCACAACAGTTAAGCTTTTGAAGGTAAACTTTATGGCTACACTTGCACACATCAGTGTTATGTCCAAAACTGATCTCGTTTTCTTGTCCTTCATGTCTGCTTTTTTGTAATCGTCTCCACCAGCGCCCAAAGCTGATTTTTTTCTTTTCATGTAGGAGAAATATACTACCACTCAACCTGTACTTTAAGGTTGGCAGCCCTGAGAATTCCTTTTTTTAATGTAGCATGTAATGGATGTACTCCTGCTCCACAAAGAGGAGAAGGCATTTCCACATGCAACTAGTGATTTAAACACAGCAAAATTATTGAATCTATGTTCTCCTATCTCACTATTTTTTCATCTGAAGTCAATGGTCAAGCCAATCACCTCAAATTGACCTTCTCTCACTTCATTCTAATTTGCTCTGCACTCCACAAGCATAGTAAACCTTAATTATAAAAATAATTTCATTTGAATATATTTGAACTTCATTCAAGGATCTTTGACAGTAAGTCCCCAGTGACTATAGGGCAACCAGACTGTACCATATGGCACACAAGCCTCAGTTTACCTGATCAGCTTCAGATTCAAATACTTTCCCTGACCATTACATCATATTTTAGTCACTTTGCTAGCTGTTCCCTAATCTATATACAAATAACACCATCAGTTTATGCTTCTCTTCTGTCCATACTCTTCATGACCTGTGTTCTTAATTTGTGAATATTCCTGGCATAGCAATTAAGACACCATTATCCTTACCAGTGTGCCTGAGATATAATAGTTGAACATGTTCTAGAAAAATGATATTCCAAATATTCAGCTATGTACTACATTGACATTTAATTTCTGTCCTGAATACAAGTTTTAACATAATGGTTCTAAATAATACTTGAGGAAATGTAACAAATATGAACTTATTTTCCCAAAAAAGAGGGTGGGAACAATTGAGAGGGAAGGATAAAAAGTATGGAAGTATGTGCTGAGTAGTATGGAAGAAAATGAATAAAGCTAGAAAGAAATTATGAAGAAAGCATGTGGCCTCTAATGTAGAGTACTACATCAAGAAAGCTCACTTCACCGGAAGCCAAAAATGCCCAGGGAGCAAAAGAACCAGAGAAGTAGTCTGTCAGGCCCACCCAGTCGGCGTGTGTGGAAGAGCTAAGGTGTTCTGCTTTGAGTAACTAGAATCTCGAGTTCCTGAGCGGCTTGGGCCTCGGACACCACCCTGAAGACACACCCTGGACTGGCTTCTTCGATAGGGCTGATGGCCTAAGTGATGCACCTGACCACACTGCCCTGGGACAGGGAGGCTCTGCAGAGAAAACAGTGGAAAGGGAAGGACAGGTGCATAAAGAATTGGGGCGGGAAGGCCCTACCGATTCCTGAGCATACAGCAGTGCACAACATAGGCACGATCCTTGCCCTCGTGGTGTGGCTCTCAAGATGACTGTGGAAACGCGACTGCCCCTGACGGACGAGGCAGCATAAGCCCTAGCTAGATTCCCCCTCCCAGACTCCAGGTTCCTGAAGTCATTTCTGTTCAGAAGCGGGGCGGCGGTGGCCGCAGGTGTCCACTCCATGCCCAGCTTGGGCCTCCTCCCGTGACCCCCCGGCCCAGGACGGTCCCATTGGTTCTCACCGAATCCTTTAATGAGCTCGGTGAAGACCCCGGGGTCGCTTTCCATGAGGCACCACTCCCCGGCATTGCCCGTCATGGCCCCGGCCACACACCGCCCCGCTCCACCTCGCGTTCTCGGCAGCCCCCCGCACCAGCTGCCGCCGGCCACAGATCTCAGCAAACCCGCCGCCGAGCTCGTCAACCACACGTCACCCCGCCTACTTCCCGACAGCCTCCGGGCGCCGTCACCTGCAGCGCGACCCAGCGCAAGAAGACGCTCTAGCCACCCAGGAGACATCGAAACTCTGGGCCTCGCGGGAACCAGCTGTGCGTTCGAAAGGGGCGGGAACCTGAGGAGAAAGGGCGGAGATACAGAGCGCCGGAGGAGGTAACATCCGGGATCCTCGCCGTCTGAAGGGAGGGCGGTGCAGGAGAAGAGGGGCGGGGCTCGCTCCGGAGAAGCGAACGTAGAAGTCCCAGCGGTGTTTGTCCGGCTGTGGCTGCCAGTCCTTGTGCTGCTTTTGGTTTTTTCTCAGTGCTACGCAGGGCTTCTTCTGGCGGCCCTGTGGGTCCCGAGGGTCGGCCGCCAGGCACAGGTAAGGAAATTGCGGGCGGGGGCTGGCAGCTGAAGGCCCTTTGTGCGGTCTGAGCGACCCTGGGACGCGCAGGGTCTGACCGGTCCTCCATCCTAGCTGCAGAGGCCGGGGCAGACACTTCGCCTACCATCGTCCTCTCCCTCCCTGCTTCCGCGCCCTACACACTCTGGGTAGCGAACCAGCATCGCTCTGGAGCGTTCTCTTTGGGCTCGGCCTGGACGCTCCGAAGGGCGGGTCTTTTCCGAATCCGGGATTGCTCGAGTCTCTACACGCTTAGCTCCCCAGGCCGGCGTCTAGACGTCCGGCTTCACTCCTCCTCTTTCTCCTCCTCCCGCGGCTTCTGCGCGCAGAGGCGTTGTCTTGGATTCTGGATTTTGGAAGAAGGCGCTTTGTGGGAAGACAGAAGGCGAATTTATCTTAGAGAAAATGAAACACTGAATTTTTTTTTTTGGGGGGGGTGTCCCCCTATGAATTAAGACCAAACTTTCTCATGCTCAGAAAGGAAACTGAAGGACTGAAACCCCAACCCTTTTTTGCCGGCGCCAAAGAAGCTGAGAGCAAAAATTGCCCCCTCCTCACATGGTATAACACATGCTAACTAAATTTGCATATGTACGTTTTCTGCCTTTTGTCTTATTTCGCACTCTCTTCTTCCCTGCCTCCCTCCAAAAGTTCTGCTCACCTTCAGGGACTGGGAAAAATAGAACTTTTAAAACAAATTTTCTTGTGCTTCTTTCAAAGCTGGCTTTAAATAAAACCTGTTACCTACCAATTTGACTTTGAATATTTCTGATATTAGAACCTCCGACTAACAAATAACGGGCGAGAGGAGAGACATCTCTTCTAAAAGCTCATGGGGATGATAGACTGGTGCAAGGGAATGCGATGCCTCTAAGGAAAATTATGTTTTAAAACATATAGCATATTAATCTAAAACATTTGGGATGATTCTAAAACTAGAAGAAGAATGGAACAAAAAAAAAATGGCTACTTTAACTGAATCACCCTCATTCATCAGGTTCTTACAGGGTACTGTAGTATTAAAGTCTTGAATATGTGTGTGCATCATTCCTTAAAAGCATTTTCCAAGACAGGCCTTTGGCTTGGAGGGGAGGGTGCTTTAGTGGATAGAACTCTCGACTCCTTCCTTCTCAAACCCTTGAGTTAGGGAGGATTGTGCTACAGATTTTGTGTGAAGCTGCAAAACACATGATAAATTTTACAGAAAGAAAGAACAGCTTTTGTATTAAAACAAGCTTGAATGTATTATGGAGCAGAAGCCAAAGTCTATGGTTTGTTTGTTTTGGTTGGGGTGTGTGTGTGTGTGTGTGTGTGTGTGTGTGAGCGCGCGCGTGTATGCTGTGGACCACTGAGCCACATCCAGCCCTATTTGTATTTTACTTAGAGACAGCGTCTCAATGAGTTGCTTAGTGCCTTGCCATTGCTGAGTCTGGCTTTGAACTCATGATCCTCCTGCCTCAGCTTCCAGAGCTGCTGAGATTACAGGCGTTTGCCACATTACCCGGCTGTATGATGTATTATTGAAAAATACTTTTTTGAAGCCGGAATTTGCTCCCTAGACACTACCCACAAGTTAGTGTATTCAAAATCTGCACTTGAGATATTTATTTGGAAAATTTTGAGTCTCATATAAGTCTAGCCTTATTTCCTTATGAACCATACCTATAATGATTTCTTCAGTTGTGTTGACATTTAATACTGAGAGTTCACATAAAAAGCTGTATTTCTAAATCTGGAGAAAAATGAGATCTGGCAACCAGTTGGCTTCTTTGTTTAGACTACAATGATGACACATTTGCTGCAATTCCTTACCAGTTCCTATTGCATTACCCTTGATTTGATCCACTTATTTCCGTTTCCTGTCTGTATGGTAGAGGCATTTGCATATGTGGTCCTAGTTTTCATAGTGTATGTGTGTGTATTTATATATATGTTTTATTTTTCAATGATTACACTTACAAATGTCAGTCTTAACTACATTTTAAAAGGAATAAACTGTAAATTTGTTTGACTTCTTGGTGTGAAAGTTAGCATTTTTAAGTAACAGATTAGGAGACATTCACCTCCCGTGGCTCAGGAGGCTGAAGCAGGAGGATCCAATCGCAAGGTCAAAGCCAGCCTCAGCAATTTAACAAGGCTTTAAGTAACTCAATGAGACCTTGTCTCTAAATAAATACAAAAAAGGGCTGGAGTTGTGGTTCAAGGGTTAAGCACCCCTGGATTTACTCCCCAGTACCAAAAAAAAAAAAAGAGAGAGAGAGAGATTGGAAAGATATTTGACTATTAAACTCAAGAAAAAAATTGTGATTTTTAATTAGTTACTGGTAAAAGACGCTATGCGTATTGTATTTCTAATGAACGAAGTGGGAGGAAATGCTATTACATAGTGTGTTCTACTAGCATTTATTCTGCATTCTAAGTTAAATCAAGACAGAAATAGCCAGAATATAAGACATCCGTAATTGATTTAAAATGTGATCATACTTTTAATAGAATTGTGATTTAACTTCTCCCCAAGATTTTAATTTTTTAGAGGTTTAATAACTTCAGCTGTTTTAGATCCTTCAGAATGGTGGGTATAAGAGATTAGGACAGACCAAAGAATAACTATATTTCTGCTGTTAATTTGGATTTACAACACCTCAGAAGTAGATTAACTCCTGACTAGTCTCTGACCTCACTCCCTGACCTACTGCATTCTAAACCACTGGCAATGGAACTTAAGCCTTTGTGAAGGAGATGATGATAGCATAAGAAAGAAGAAATTAAATTGCTGTGTATGTCTGTATGTATCTCATATTGCTTTCTAAAGTCAAATATAAGAAGTATAAGGCTAAATATCACTTTTGCATAATGATTTTTCTGCTGCTTTCCACTTTGATAGTTCGATAACTTTGCCATACATTTCACCTAGCCAATTTTTAATTTCTATTTTCCTAATAAAAAGATTTAGGATATAATCCCCAAGTCATGAATTACATTATTTTAAAGTATCCAGTGCAGTGATGGTTTTTAATATATTCACAGAATTATGCAACCATCACCAATATCTTATTTCAAAACATTTCCAACACCTCAATAGAAATTCCTCTGTTAGCAGTCACTCCCCCAGTTCTCCCTGCCCCTAGCTTCTGGTAACTATTAATGTATTTTTTTTTAATCTATGAATTTGCTTATTCAGTCTCATATAAATGGAACACACAGCCTTTTGAAACTGGCTTTATTCAAGTAACATGTTTTCAAGCTTTGTTCAAGTTTTAGCATATATCAGTATTAAATCCCTTTTTAATTGCAAAATAATAGTCCATTGTATGGATATACCACTGTTTTAATCTTTTCTCAGTTGGTCATGATTTGGTTTGTTTCTGGGTTTTGACTATTACATGATGTTGATAAAAACAATTGTCTACAAGTTTTTGAAGGGACACACATTTTCATTTCTCTTGAATCTCTTGGTTATATGGAAACCATATATTTTGAGGAACTACCAGATTTTTTTTTTCGTTACCAGACTTTAAAATTAAAAAAAAAAAAAAAATGTGCCTGCATGATTTATATTCCAACTAATGGCATAAGAGGGTTTCAATTTCTAAATTTTTACCAACACTTAAAATATTGTCCTTTTGAAGATAGCCATCCTAGTGGATATGAAGTGGTACCTCGATGTGGTTTTCTTTTGCAGTGCTGACAATCAGTCCCAGGGCCTTACTAATGCTAGATAAGTGCTATATGAGCTATACCCCCAGCCTATCATTGTGGGTTGGTTTGTTGTTGTTGTTTTTTTTTTTTTTTTAAATGGAGGTGGGGGTTACCAGGGATTGAACCAGGGCATTCAACCACTGAGCTACAAACATCCCCAGCCCTATTTTGTATTTTACATAGAGACAGGGTCTCATTGAGTTGCTTAGCGCCTTGCTTTTGCTGAGGCTGGCATTGATCCTCCTGTCTCAGCTTCCTGAGTGGCTGGGATTATACACGTCAGCTTATCATTGTGGTTTTGATTTACGTATACTGATGATTGATGATCTTCATCATGTATCTTTGTTCATTGGATATATTTGGAGAATTATATGTTCAGATTCTTTGACCATTTACATATCTTTGGAGAAATAACTGTCCAAAACCTTTGCCTGTTTAATTGAGTTACAATTGTGTTATTTATATATTCTATATATACCTATGATTAGCAAATACTTTCTCTGTTCCATGGGTCATTGTATTGTTTTCTTTGTAGTGTCCCTTGAAATGTGAGTTTTAAATTTTGATAAAGTCCAGTTTGGTTGTTTTTTTTTTTTTTTTTTTTTTTGTCACTTGTGCCTTTGGTTCTGTATTCTAATACCAATTCTCTTGACACCTTCTTCTACAGTTCAGTTCAATTCTGATACTAACTACCTGGAATTAGTATCACATTCCACAAGTAAAAAGGCAAAGTCCTTAAAACCTCCCTTGATTGAGATACCAGTTGCAGGTGGATTCCCCAGCTACCCACACTTTTACCCTGACAACTACAAATTCAAGGTTTCCACAAAACTTTCAAGATTAATTCATTAGAATGACTCATGTAATTTACTCAACAGTGATAGACTTAGGAGTGCAGTTTTATTATAAAGGGTACAACTTTAGAGCCCACAGTGAGTCACTTTGTTAGTATAACAAAGACTCCTACACTCAGGAAATTCCAGGGGTTTTTGAGAGACTACCAGGAACCAAGTACAAAGACCAGATGTTCTGTATTATACCACAGTGTCATATTACTGCCCCATGGCAAAAGGTGCAACTTAACCCAGTGGAGGGGGAGAGATAAAGAATTTCCAGACGCTTCTGCCTTTGTCAATGCTTTATTCACTCAAATCACTCAATACAGTTTCATTCTGTAGGATCTTGTTTGTTTGTGGTGCTGGGGATTGAACCCAGGGCCTTGTGCATGCAAGACAAGCACTCTATCATCTGAGTGATATCCCTGGCCCTCTTTAGGTTCT